ACACACACACACACACACACACACACACACACACACACACACACACACACAAAGCACACACACACACACACAAAGCACACACACACACAAAGCACACACACACAATCACAACACCACTGACTTCAGTCTCACTTCTTCGGTGCACCGAATAACTGCTCCTTGAAAGTTCGTTGCCGTGTCGTTGTGCGTGTTTTGCCGTTGCTGTGTGTGGCATTTCAGGCAGCCATGGAACGTGGCTGGTCGCTCACGCACGACGCCAGCAAACCCGGCCATCACACAGGCAACCGCCACCCACCACAACAGCAAGTTCATCTCACATCGCATAGCAGCAGCAGTAGCACAGCATCGCAGCAGCACAGCATCGCAGCAGCGCAGCAAAAAGAAGTGAAGCAACCAATTCACCCATCCTATCCAGACAACATCTGCACACCACCACATCATTTAACTCTCCCACGCTTCCCTTCCTCGCCTTCTCTCTCCTGTTCCACCAACCACAACCGCAACCACCTACCACAACCACCCACAACCACCCACCAACCACCGACCACCACCATCACAACCAAGCACAACGCCAACGACTGTAAACAATGGGCAGCCCGTCCCCGTCACTGCTGCTGGCACTGCTGAGTGTGGCCGCGGTGGCCTGCCTGATGCTCCTCAACATGCACACGCACCATCACCATCACCAACAACAGCTCATGCAGCGCGACCTCCTCACCAATGACCCCACCAGCCTGCAACAGCAGCGCCGCCCACCGCCAGCCCTGCTTCCCAAAATGCCTGCAGGCAACCCTGTCGTCGCAGGTGCGGCCGATACCGGTGCCGGTGCCGTTGCTGCTGACATTAGCGTCAACCGTCTCGCTCACGCTCAAAACATCAACAACCACATCAACAACGACAACATCAACAACGACAACAACGACAATAACAGGGGTGATACCCGCGCCCCGGCTCGCGTACCCCCAGAGGAACAGCAGCAAGCTGTGGCAGATGTTGTGGATGCTGCCCTGGACAAGCACCTGCGCGAACAGCGTCGCATGCTGCAAGAGCAGCTTGCCCAGTTCATGGAGACCCTGAAGGCGCTGGACAGCGACAGTCGGTCGTCTGTGCTCAAGGAGATACTGGCCAGCGTGAACAAACAAGACGAGCGCATGGCACAGCTGGAGGAGAAGCTGAGCCGGCTCGAGACAGCCGTGGTGGAGCCCATGCAGACCAGCCAGGAGAAGCTCGACGCTGCGCTGAAGCAGCTGCAGGAGATCAAGGAGCAGGCTGGCTCCCTGACAGAGGCCTTCAACCGGCACTACGGCTACAAGGAGGAGCCGCTGGACCTGGCGGCGCAGCAGAACGAGCAGGGGCCAACCCCGCCCCCGGAGCCCAGGGTGCCCATGGAGGATTTCGTCATGCTGGTGCACCTGCACCTTGTCGGCAACATCACGCACGAGGAGTTTGAGGATGCGCTGGGCATCAACACCACCGCAACGCAGGAGATTCTGTCCTGGCCCAGCCTTGACGAGCCGCGCGAAGACGGGCAGAACCCAGCCAAGGCGCGCTACTTCCAGATGCTGGACGCCAAGTACCCATCACGCATCCAGGCATCCACGCTTGCGCACGAGTGGTGCATTGAGCGCAACGGGTCCGGCACCAACTTCATCCTCAACCACTGCATGCTCGGCGGCAGCTACCAGCACTGGCTGCTGGACTCGCTGGGGCGCCTGCACACGGCGTTCGACCAGGGCGACTGCCTCGACGGCACGGGCCTGGCGGTCGGAGACGACCTCGTCGCCAACAGGTGCACGAGGAAGGCAAAGGGCCAGCGCTGGAACTACGTGCGCCCTGGCGCGCAGTCCCAGGCCGGGTTCCTCATCAACCGCGAGACAAAGCTGTGCATTGACGCCAACGACGTGCTGCAGGCGTGGAACGCCACGCACCGCCCGCGTGTTGTCGTGCGGCAGTGCGACGCCAGCTGCACACAGCTGTGGACCATCTCCGACAACGTCACAACCATCTTCGACCTCATGCCCAGTGCGGACGAGGCACGCGCCATGATCAGGCACAAGGAGGAGCAGCTTGCGGAATCGAAGCGCACGGGTGCCAGCCTTGGCCTCATCTACGAGCGAGAGGCAGATGAACAGCTGTCGCGCGCCAAGAGCAAGATGGAGGCAGCGGGCAAGGATGCCTCGACCGAAAACGCCGAGAAGCGGGATCGTATCGCGTGCTGGGTGATGACCAACCCAAAGAACCACCACACCAAGGCCCTTGCGGTGAGTCCAACCGAGAGCTTTGTGTGTGTGTCTGTGTGTGTGTGTGCCTGTGTGTCTGTGTGTGTGTGTGTCTGTCTGTGTGTGTGTGTGTGTCTGTCTGTGTGTGTGTGTGTCTGTGTGTGTGTGTGTGTGTCTGTCTGTCTGTGTGTTGTGTACTGTGCTTGTTGTGCGGGGGGGGGGTTGCATTTCTCTGCCTGGACGGGACAATGCGCTTTAACCCCTGCTTGCAGGCAATGTGTTTGAACTTCCCGTTTGGTCTCACCACTGTTTTGGTTGTTTGCTGTGTTTTGTTTCCTCTTGTGACCTGACCATTACCGCTTCCTCCCTTTTTCCTCCCTCCTCCCTCCTTCACCTTTCTCCTTCCAACGCTCTGCTTTCTCCAATTTCCTCTCGTCAGATCAACTCGACGTGGGGCCGGGATTGTGATTTGCTGCTGTTCATGACAACCAAGCACCAGGCTGGGCTGAACACGATTGTGCTGTCGCTTGGCGAGGAGGAGGACCGCCACTTTCTCTGGCGCAAGAGCATCATGTCGTGGGGATTCATGTATGCGCACCTCATTGACAAGTACGACTGGTTCATTCGTGCTGACGACGACACGTTCTTCAACATGGACAACCTCCGCTCCTTCCTCAAGGGTGAGCGTGTGCGTCAAATGTGTGCGCCAAGTGTGTGCGTGCGTGCATGTATGGATGTGTGTGTTCCTATCAGTGTCTATCTGTGTCTATCTGTGTGTGTGTCTGTCTGTCTGTCTGTATCTGTGTGTGTGAAGGAAAGTTGTATGCTTGGAGATATCCCTATCCGCGTCTGCTCCGTGCTTGTGTGTGTCCTTGTGTCTGCCATTTCCACCATGCAAGTGTCAGCATTGGAGGCTTGGTGTAGTTTGGACTGCAACAACCCACAGGTCTTCCAGTTACGTTCCCCCCCCCCACACACACACACTCACCCAAGTCACTCTCTGGCATTACACACCACCGTGTCTTCTCTTCCTCTTCCCCTTCACCATCATGTATCAGGGTATTCGCCAAAGGACCCCCACTTCTTTGGGCGCCGGCTGAAGATCAACGACGACGAGTTCTATTCCGGTGGAGCAGGCACCATCCTCTCCCACAATGCCCTGAGCCAGTTTGGCGAGGCCATGGAAGACGACATCTTGGGGGTGGTCCGTGCTGGCGACACATTTGCAGACGACATGTAAGTTGCACAAAGTGCACGAGAAAACTGAGGGGAGACGGCCGACGAAGACGAGAGAAGTTGCATGCAGCAGAGCAGCATGCATGCAGTGGCGCTGTGGTGGGGGGGGGGGGAGAAGAGTGGTTGCGCTTGTGGTGCAGCAACAGGAGGGCAAGCAACAGTGCTTCATGTCTGGTTCCGCCAATGCATGCGTGTGCCGATGCTTCTCTGCCTCTCCTTTCTTAGTTTTCTTGTTCTCTCTATTCCTGCTAGGCTATTCCTGTCCTCCGTCTTTGCTAGTTTGCTTGTCTTCTTCTAGTTCTAGGCTTCTCTCGCATCCCCTTTGCTCCAACACACAACATATACATGCACACACACGCAGCGCTTACATTTTCGACCCTTACTCACCCCCTATCTCCCTCCCCCCCCCCCTCTCGACTCACGCAGGGAGATTGCCGTGTCGATGCGGCGGCTGGGCATTCCCACGGAAGATACGCGGGACGAGCAAGGGCGCGAGCGCTTCTTCGTGCTGACGTTGACGGACGAGCGTAACACGTACCGCGCCAACGACCCCGGGTTCTGGTACTTTGAGTTTTCGTACTACTCACCGAAGGAAGGGGAGGACAGCAGCAGCCCGTGGTGGATTGCGTCGCACTACACGGCGCCGCCCACCATGATGCTCATGGAGGCCATGCACGAGCTCAAGTGCGAGGCGGCAGGGCAGCACCCGTGGCGGGCGAAAGTGCAGGCTCCGACGCCATAAATTGTTCATTCGTGCATGTGGGTGGTGGATACTATTTGCTTCATAAACGATTTCTGTGCGAAACGTACATTGCAATGCGCACTTTGTCAACCCACGAGGACCAAACACTGCCAACCCACAGGGCCTGCCCTTTTTCCCCCTGCCCTTAACATAACACAAAGCACGAGGTCCATATCGTGTGTGTGTTTGTTCTGAGCGACCAGCGATTGTGCAGCAGCCAGCAAGAAGCCCCACCAGACCATCAACACCACCAGCAACCATGACTAGCGTGGCGGTGAGCAGCCCTCTGTGTGTGTGTGTGTGGGTGTGAGTGTGAGTGTGTGTGTGGGTGTGAGTGTGTTTGTATGTTTGTACGTGGGTGTGTGTGGGTGCGGGTGGTTGTGCGATTGCGTTGCTGGGTGCATGTGTCAGCAGACGCCACGTTGTCACGCCACACAGCATCACAACACCGCACCACGCTCATCATGCTCATCTGTCCACACAATGACCCCCACTTGTGCAGGATGAACAAAGGAAGGCCGACTTCCAGATTGAGCCGTCGAAGGTGAAGCCCACCATCGACGCCAGCGACTGGCCTCTCCTCCTCAAGGTCTGTGTGTGTGTATGTGTGCCTGTGTTGTGTGTGTGTGTGCCTGTGTTGTGTGTGTGTGTGCCTGTGTTGTGTGTGTGCTTGTGTTGTGTGTGTGCGAGTTGGGTGAAATCAAACGGGATGGCTTTTTTGGGGATGGCTGTTCCAAATCTGCCATCACACGCTGCGACCTTGTTCCTCCAGCGCAACACAACACAACACAACACAACACAACACAACACAACACAACACAACACACGCATGTGCGCACTTGTTCCCTCTTATCCACTCGCATTTATTCACACACACACACACACACACACCTTTCCTCCCTCTCCTTCCCTTCCCTCCCCACCCCAACAACAACACACAACAACAGGACTTTGACAAGCTGAACATTCGCAGCAACCACTACACCCCGCTGCCAAACGGCTGCTCGCCGCTGAAGCGCAAGATCCACGACTATGTGCGCAGTGGTGTGATCAACCTCGACAAGCCAGCCAACCCGTCCTCCCACGAGGTTGTCGCCTGGATCCGCCGCATTCTCAAGGTGGAGAAGACGGGCCACAGCGGCACGCTGGACCCAAAGGTCACGGGCTGCCTGATTGTGTGCATCGACCGCGCCACGCGCCTGGTCAAGTCGCAGCAGAACGCGGGCAAGGAGTACGTCGGCCTTGTTCGCCTCCACAGCGCCATTGACGGCGAGGTCGCGCTTGCCCAGGCCCTGGAGAAGCTCACCGGTGCCCTCTTCCAGCGCCCGCCCCTCATCTCCGCCGTCAAGCGCCAGCTGCGCGTGCGCACCATCTACGAGTCGAAGCTGCTCGAGTACGACAACGACCGCCACCTCGGCATCTTCTGGGTCAAGTGCGAGGCCGGTACATACATCCGTACCCTGTGCGTGCACCTTGGCTTCCTCCTCGGCGTTGGCGGCCACATGCAGGAGCTGCGCCGCGTCCGCTCCGGTATCCAGAGCGAGGCAGACAACCTCGTCACCATGCACGACGTGCTCGACGCACAGTGGCACTACGAAAACACACGCGATCAAACCTACCTTCGCCGTGTGGTGCGTTCTCCCTGCTGCGTTGTGATTTGTGCGCATGGTTTTGCGTCTGTACCGCGTGAGGTGCTGCCCTCTCGCTTGCCTCTTATCAAGGCCATCTGTGGGGCTGCTGCGTTTCCACCCACACATATGGTGCCGCCTCTGCCAAGTGTTATGCAAAACACTGACCACCACCCTATCATGTGCTTGTGCTTTGGGTGTGCCACAGATCCAACCCCTGGAGATTCTGCTCACGGGACACAAGCGCGTCGTGGTTAAGGACAGCGCTGTCAACGCCATCTGCTACGGCGCCAAGCTCGTGAGTGGCACGGCCCACGCGGCTGCGACCCAGCTGATTATCTCCCCCCCCCCCACACACACACACACACTCACGCACACATGCACGCACGCACGCACCAGCTCTCCCTTTTTCCCCTTTGCAATGTGTGTGTGCGCTCACAACACTATCTGCTTGTGTGCAGATGATTCCTGGACTGTTGCGGTATGCGGACGGTATTGAGATTGACGAGGAGTGCGTCATCCTCACGACAAAGGGCGAGGCTGTTGCCGTCGGTACGTTTGCTTCCCCACATGTGTGTGTGTGTGTGTTGGTGTAAGAGGATGCGTTTACATTTGTGCTTGTGTGTGTGTGCGTCTGTGTGTGTGTGTGCGTCGTATCGTTCAGTGTGAATGCTTTACAACATGATAGGTTTCAAGTACGCTGCTTTCTCGCGGTTTGCCACCACCCGCTCACACTTCACACACTCTTTCTCTCCACCTTCCCGCGCCCTCAACAACAGGCATTGCGTGCATGACGACTGCTGTGATGGCGACGTGCGATCACGGCGTCGTTGCCAAGATCAAGCGTGTGATTATGGAGCGTGACACATACCCGCGGCAGTGGGGTCTTGGCCCTCGCGCCGCCGCCAAGAAGAAGCTGATCCAGGCCGGCAAGCTTGACAAGTACGGCCGCCCCAACGACAAGACGCCCAAGGACTGGCTCAACGGCTACGTCGACTACGCAGCTGCTGCTGCCGCCGTCGCTGCAACAGAGACACAGGACGCAGACGACAGCAACCCGGCCAAGAAGGTGTGTCACGCTAGTTTGCCATTGGAAAAGAGAGGGGAAGTAGATGGCTCTCTTTTTCAGTTTTGTTGCATCCCTGTGTGTGTGTGTGTGTGTGTGTGTGTGTGTGTGTGTGTGTGTGTGTGTGTGTGTGATCGTGTGTGATCGTGCCTTGGACTGATTGTTTTTTTTTGGGGGGGGGGGTGTGTGTTTGGGCGCACCACCATTGGGACCGACTGACACTGGTTGCTGATTTTTGTGTAATGTCTGCAGCGCAAGCAATCGGAGGACGTGTCTGAGCCATCCACGCCCGTGAAGGAGTCAAAGAAGGCAAAGACAGAGGTGTGTGTTGACGTGTTTGGAGCGACCTTTATGTGGCCATTGTGAATTGAGATCGTCGTCATCGTGTGTGTGTGTGCGTGTCTTTGGTGTTTGTGTGTTTCTGTTTGCAGCTGCGTGTGAATGCACGTTGGTGTTGTGGATCGACTGCAGCCTTCTATTTGCATGCCGCTCAACCTTGCTTTTTCTCCTGCGGCTTGTGTGTGTGTGTGCGTGTTTGTGTGTCTGTGTAACAGGATGAGCCCAAGAGCGAGAAGAAGAAGAAGAAGAAAAAGAGCAAGGACAAGGACGAGGTGCGTTGTGATGGTTGTGATACAATTTTTGTGAATGTGCGCCTGTGCGTTTGCATTCCTTGACCGTGCTTGCGGTTTTATTCGCTCTTGTGCTTTGGGGGTCGCCGCTGCTTTCTACGATTTGCTCATGTCGTCTGCGTGCCTGTGTTGCGTTTCTTTGCACACCAACAGCCAAGCACACCCAAGAGCGAGAAGAAGAAGAAGAAGAAGTCGAAGGACGCTGTAAGTGTGTGGTGCTATGGCTGCTTTGGGTGCAACTGACATTGCGTTGTCTTGCGGTCATTGTGATGTTAAAGTTCCTGTCGTTGTTTTGTTTGCATGCACTGCAAGCTGCAATCCTTGGCATGCCCTTACGCCTCGTGCCTCGACGCGCTTTTGCTTCTTTGAACTGCTGCAGGACACACCCAAGAGCGAGAAGAAGAAGAAGTCCAAGAAGTCCAAGGACGAGTGAGGCACCACAATCGTGTTTTTCTCTCTTGTCCTGTGTTTTGAGTCGTATGAGTGGCTTGCTTTGTTATTTCGCTTCCTGTCGTCTCTTCCTACGTGTGTGCGTGTGCGTGTGCGTGAGCGTGAGCGCGTGTATTTGGCCCCAGATTCTTCCCCGCTTTTCTTGATTCGATATCCTCCGTTTGCATCGGTGTGTGTGTGTGTGTTTGCTTTGCTTGGGAGTTGGCTTGTTGTTCAAGCGCTCCAAGCTCCATGCCTGTGTGTGTGTGTGTGTGTGCGTCATTCATTTGACACCTTCCCTTGTTGCCGTGCTTGTTGTGATGTGATGATGCATTTCAGTGTTGGTCCATGCAACATGAAGGGGAAGGGGGAATGTAACACAAGAAACAATGGTTGCACTGAATTCAGATGTTGAAGAAGACGGGTTTGCACATGTGCCGTGTGATTGGAGGTGGTGCTTCTCTCTTTTGTTGAGCCCTGCAACTTTGAATGTCGTTTATTGAAAGCATGGTGTGAGCAAGGTTTCACGTGTAATGAATGTAATGTACCATGCCATGCAGAGCTTGTCTGCAAGCTGATGCACACAACCACCACCGTCACCTCTCTGAGGGCTCCAAGTACTTCATGTCGAGATAGTCAAACACATCCTTCTCGCAGGTGACGGGCAGCGCATCCCCCATTGTCCCTTTCTCGCCCATGGGCCTGATGCGAGGAGAAAAGAGGACATGAGCGGTTGCAAGGAGTGTGTGGCTGAGGTGTGGCACGCAGACGCAGACGCAGACCTAGACGCAGACGCAGACGCAGACGCAGACGCAGATGCAGACGCAGAGGTGTCATCACACAAAACAACACAACACAACACAACACAACCACAACCACAACACACACCTGATTGCGTATTCGTTGAGGTGGAAGCCGAGGTCGATGGCCTTTCGTCGCATGTCCTTGTTGAGCTCGTCGCTGCCCGTGAAGTAGAGGAGTGCGAGCGGGTACTGGTCCGCCGGCCAGAACCGGACGTCGATGCGGCGGTATTTGCCCTCGCCCGCCTTGGGCGCCTCGCGGTCCCGGCACACCCCCATAAACTGGACGTCGTCGTGGTTGTGCGGTGGTGGAATGATGGTAGCGTGGGTGGTGGTGGAATGATGGTAGCGTGGGTGGGCAGTGGTGAGGTGGTTCCACGCTGATGAATAGATAACCCGAACCACGCATTATACGAGTAGTCTGCACACACACACACACACGCACGCACGCACACACACCTTTGTTTGGCCGCAGCTGAGCGAGTCTGTGACGAACTTGTGCTTCTGCATGGCAGCGACAACCTTTGCGAGCAGGCCAGCAAACCGCGGCTTTGTGATCTTGCCTTTCTCGTCCTTGTGCTCAGACGTAAACCTGGCAAGCGTGGTGTTGTGTGTGTGTGTGTGTGTGATCGTGTGAAATTGCGCGTGAATGTGTACACATGTGCACATCCTCACACAAGCCGACACGTAGCTCCCTTCCCCCCTCCCCCCTGCCTACCAACTGACTCTGGGTGCGTCATGAGGATGTCAATGTCACCGGACGAAGAGGCGCCACGACGGTAGCTCCCGCACACCTCCGCCGTTAGCTTTGGATCAACCTCGGAGATGATTGCAAACGCCTGTGAGGATATGTACATCCATAGGTAGTCGTTGCACGATGTGATGTGGCTTGGTAGGTGAGCCTTGGCACGAGCGCTATGTATCAGCAAGCAAACAAGCAGGATGGCCTCGCACAACGACAGGGAGCTGTGTCCTTTCCTGACCTGTTTGCGCAGCCTGTCGACCTCATCCCGTGGGATGCGCTCCTCAAAGTCGTGGTGGTGCTTCAACCCAATGCGCTGTGTGCTGGTCAGGCCCGACTGCTTTGCCAGCTCCTCAAGCGTCGTCACCCCCTGGCACAAATACACGTGCACGTGTATTGTGTGTGTGTGTGTGTGTGTGTGTGTGTGTGTGTGTGTGTTGTGTTGTGTTGTGCGTGTTTGCATGAATGTGTCGTGTGTAGAGATGAGGAAAGCAAGACAGGAGTGCCCCAAGCCACAATAGCAAAGACAGACACCTCCACACATGCGTGTGCGCTCTCGCACACACACACACACATGACACTGACCTGGTCAACAAACTTGCGGGCTGCGGCTGGTCCAAAGCCAACGACGCTGGCAATACTGCGTTGCAACTCAAACAACGACCACAACATGAGAGCGCGTCGCTGCATTGCACCACATCTGCACCACCGTTGGTCATCAACACATGCAAGACGTGCGTGTTGCGCAACAAGAGCACACACAAAACACAGCCACACACACACACACACACACACACACACACACACACATACACACACACGCACGCACACACGCACACAAAACACACACGCACACACACACGCACGCACACACGCACACACATACAAACAAAAGCAAAGAGTATTAGCTGACAGCTGGATAGCCTTTGACGTTGGATCTGCGTGGATGTCCTCGAGCTTCTTGAGCTTGCCCGTGCTGAGGAATTCGTCAATCTTCTTTGCAATCTTCTCCCCGACGCCCTGCAAGGCCTTTGCCTCCTTGCCAGAGCTGATCCTGGCGAATGGGCAAAAGCAATGGCATGGGCGAGATGTGTCAGTATGAGCATGTGCAGATGTGTGTTGTTGTTGTTGGTGGTGGTGGTGGTGGTGGTGGTGTTGTTGTTGTTGTTGTTGCGTGCATCTGTATATCAGAAAAACAATGAACAAACAAGCAAACAAAACACGCTTGCACAAAGGCACATTTGCATACCATCCCCTCGTACACACACAAACACACACACACGCACACCTGGATGGGTGGGCGGCGATGGCTCTGCTTGCTTTGCGGTATGCGTTGTGTTTGTGGATGTGGCGCGAGACGTTCTTCTCGTAGTCTGCAAGCTCGTTGAGAAACGCGCAAATGTCTGCGTTCACGTTTCCCTTTGCCCGCTCTAAGGGGGGGGGGGGGAGAGAAAGTGAGCGCAAGGGAGTGAGCGCAAGAGGGTGAGCGCAAGGGAGTGAGCGCAAGGGAGTGAGCGCAAGAGGGTGAGCGCAAGAGGGTGAGTGCAAGGATCACATCGAGAGACCATCCCCCCATCATCAGCGACATCAGCGACGCACTTGTGCCGGCAACTGCTTCCGCAGCAACTTTCCGCTTTGCCTCAGACATGTTTGGCTTCAGTAGGGATGTAGACTGGTTTCAGTTGAGCCTGATTTCAGTCTATACGGCCTGCAGCAACTGAATTCATGCTCGGTACTGCGTCTGACGCAATTTGTGCGTTTAGGGGCATCATAGGCCCGGCAGGTGGCGACGCAACAGGGCGATCGCTGTGAACATTCCGTCTTGCTTCATTTCCAACACGTCCCCGACCAAAAACTGACAGTGCCCAACACGAGGGCTGACGAAGTAGGTAGTGGTGACATAATGTGCAGCATGATCGATGATGTGATGTGTGTGTGTGTGTGTGTGTGTGTGTGTGTGCGGCACGATGTGTGTGAAGCAAGCTTAGGCGAGTGAGCGATATGCGTGAGGGTGAATGGGTTGGCTGGTTGGGAAGCTTGCCAGCGCCGACAAAGCTGCAGCTCAGCAACAGCATGCATGGCTGATGTGACTGGTCATTGTCATTCATTTATTCATTCATGCATGCATTGACCACCTCACACACACACACACCACCACACACACACACACGCACACACACACACACCTATTTCTGCCTAACAACCACAACCACCACCCTCTCCACCCCTGGCTTCCGCTGACTGCTCCCTTTCCGCGACAGCAGCAACAATGGCATCTGTGCTGAGGAAGGCGCCCAAGTTGGTGACGCTGGATGCGGCGGCATCGTCGCTGATCCAATCCAACAACCGCATTGTGACGGCGATGGCCGTCTCTGAGCCGCACGGCTTTTTCTCCAAGCTGGAGACGTTTGTCAAGGACCGCGAGAACGTGCAGGTGTACTGCGCCAACCCGAACCGCGCCTACAACGCCTTTCGACAGGAGCAGCTCAAGGGCAAGCTGTCGCTGACCACCATGTTCCTCACGCACGCCGTGCGCAACCTGCAGGGCCACGGCGTCGTGTACTATGCGCCGCACAACCTGCGTGAGTGGGGCCCGCTCCTGTGCCGCAAGCCCATTGACGTGTTCTGGGGCACGTGCACGCCGCCCACGGACCAAGGGTACGTCAGCCTGGGCCCCTCTGCCGTGTACGAGGTGGAGGCGCTGCTGCACGCCAAGCAGGTGGTGCTGGAGGTGAACCCGAACATGCCCTTCTGCCACGGCGCGACGACGCTGCGCCTGAGCGACGTGGACTACCTGATTGAGCCCGAGGAGAACTCGACGCTGGACCTGCTGACGGAGGAGCGGCGGCCCTCGGACGAGATTGACATGCAGATTGCGCAGCACGTGGCCACGCTCATCCCGGACGGCGCCACGCTGCAGTTTGGCATTGGCGGGATCCCCAATGCGCTGGCGCACGCGCTGCTGAACCACAGGGATCTGGGCGTGCACACGGAGATGATCAACGACGCCGTGGTTGACCTGGCCAAGGCCGGCGTGATCACGGGCAACTGCAAGTCGCAGTGGCCGCGCAAGATGGTGGGCGCGTTTGCGCTGGGCTCCAAGCAGCTGTACGAGTACATTGACAACAACCCGGGCGTCATCTTCAAGCCCGGCTCGCAGGTGAACGACCCCGTTGTGTTTGGCAACAACCACCGCATGGTCTCTGTGAACACGTGCGTGGAGATGGACCTGACGGGCCAGGTGTGCAGCGAGTCTGTTGGCCACCGCGAGCTGAGCGGCGTGGGCGGGGCCGCGGACACGCACATTGGCGCACAGCGGTCGCCGGGTGGACGGGCCATCATCGCCCTGCGCAGCCAGAGCAAGCGCGGCAGCTCCAAGATTGTCTCTGAGCTCATGCCTGGGGCGAAGGTGAGCATCACGCGCAACGACCTGGACACGGTGGTGACGGAGTATGGCATTGCGGAGCTCAAGGGCATGAACACCGCCGACCGTTGCCGCGCCCTCATCAGCATCGCCCACCCGTCTGCTCGTGACGAGCTCACGGAGCAGGCCCGCAAGCACTGCTACATCTGACCACGCATATGTTCGTGTGTGTGTGTGTGTTGTGTGCGTGTATGTGTGATGTGTGTGTCGATGGGTGGATGCGTGTGTGTGTGTGTGTGTGTGTGTGTTGTGTGCGTGGATGCCTGCTGCGATGGTATCACACCACACCACATCACATCACATCACACCACATCACATCACACATCACAGTTCGAGCTACACCCTCCTCTTTCTCCTTCCTTTGAGCTGTGTGGTGTTTCAAAAGGTCAGCCGAGCTGCTTGCAGTCATGTCGTGTGTTTGTTTCTTTCTTGTTTATGACCGGTTGACACCAACGTGAAGTGAACTGAACTGAAGTGAAGCGATTGACAACCACACGACATTCATTCATTCAGCAGTCAATCAATGCATGAAGCAATCAAATAAGCAAAAGCAGAACGAAGCAAAGCGGAAGAAAACACACACACACACACACACACACTCACTCACACACACACTCACTCACTCACACACACACACACACAGAGCACGTTTATGCGGGGGAGACCGGGGTGGAGGAAGCGCGCGTCTTGCCGGAGAAGATGGGCGTAAACTTCATGCCGTCCATGACCACTTGCTCCATGGTGGTGCTGCGACGCTTGTGGCGGCGAGAGCGACGAAGCCCGCTGCGGCGTGGGCTGCGGCGTGGGCTGCGACGTGGGCTGGCCTGCTGCGTGGCGTTTGTCTTCTTCGTCGTGGCTGTTGTTGCCTGCGCCTCATCGTTACTCGTGGCGTTGGCGTTGGCGAGCGCGGCGCGGGTGAGGGCGCGCGATGGGAGCAGCGCAGCAGAAAGGCGGCCATGTCGCTGCTGCTGCTGCTGCTGCTCTTGCAGGGCCTTGAAGACGTGGAGGAGCAGCAGGTCGTGGTACATGCAGTCCATGAGTGTCTGCTCAATGGTGGTCTTGCGCTGCAGGCGCTTCTTGCTCGCCTTGCTGCGCTTGCTGTTCTGCTGACGAGCCGCCTTGGGCGAAGGCGTGGCCATGCGGCGAGGTGTCGCAGGCGCAGAACGCGGCCCGCTGCTGCTGTCGTTGATGGTGGTGGTGGTGGAAGTGGTCACCGTGGCCGTGCCGAGGCGCTGGGGAAGGCGGCGCAGCTTGTAGGGCAGGGAGGCCAGGCGGGCGGCCATGGCCCGCTTCTTGCGCGAGGCGCGTGGGCGAAGCACCATGTGCGTCGAAGGAGATGAAGGAGAAGTCGAAGCAGAAGCCAAACTCGAAGTCCAGGTGGTGGCAGCGAGATCGCCGCACAGCTTGTTCAGGAACGCCTTGCCCTCAGTCACAGTTGCCTCCATGGACTGGGTGCGCTCCACCGGCGACGTGGCGACAAGTGGAGTGGCAGCGTTGGTGGCGGTGGTGGTGGCGGTGGTGGTGGGAGTTGGAGCCATGTTGCTGTTGTTTGTTGCTGTTTGTTGTTGTTGTTTGTTGCTGCTGAAAGAAAGAAGGAAGGGAGATGGAGCGAGTGCTTGCTTGCTTGGTTGCTTGCTTGGTTGCTTGGTTGATCCAGTGAGGAAAATGATCCATCACCGCTTCATCGTCGCACTTGTAGTCGCCATCACCGCGTGTATGTGTTGGTGGGGCAGGACCAGTGTATGTGTGGTGGTGAGCATGGGTGTTTGCTGGTGGTTTGCGGGGTTTGTGGCTGCGGGCGAATCCAGACGCGTTCACGGAAAAGTGCTGACTCAGCTATGTATTTGCTGTGACATGTCAAACATGTTTTGGCATGGCAAGGTGCACAAACACAAGATTGTGCTGTCGGTAGAGGTTGTGCTTGATGTTTGCGAGGAGTTGGCGAAGGTTTTCAAGGACGTGGATGTGTTGGTGTGGATGCGTTGTGTCTGTGTGTGTGTGTGTGTCTGTGTGTCTGTGTGTGTGTCTGTGTGTGTGTCTGTGTGTGTGTGTGTGTGTCAGTGTGTGTCTGTGTGTGTGTGTGT